GCATTTCTTAAAACTGTAATTTCTGGAGTGTGACGCGCACGCGATTCCTCCCCCACCACGACACTCAACCTACCCCCTAAGCCCGCCTCGCCTCCCCAACCGTCAGCCCCAACCCCGCCTTCCCAAACGTTAACGTGAAGAGATTCGCCACCCCCCTCCGCTTGCGTTTCAAGAGAGCTTGGGATCCGTTATTCTGCGGTGCCTTGGCTCGATGTCAACGCGCCGTGGTTACCTTGCGCGGTAACACGCGAGGTGCGCGTTACGCAGCAGGTAGCTCGGACGAAAATCACGTCCGGCGCGTCCTTGGGCGCAGTTGATATATGTTTTGCCGAATCCTTGCGTTGCACGGGTTACGATGAGCCATGCACAAGGGTTACGACGAGAGATGCACAAGAGGCTGCTTACAGGACGTTCCCGTTGAAACCGCCTGTTGGTTTGGAAAACAAATGCCATTTATACGCAGCTTGATATTTGAGAATATCTCTGAAAACCCACTTGTGCGAAACGTACCAAAACCAATCGCACGCGCGGAATGCTGAAACTATGCACATTATTGTCCTTAATTACGGTAATAATGTATACATTGAATGCAAATTATGCTAAATAATTGAAACGATGTAACTCTTAAGCGATGAGACTTTTGAGGCCTGTTTTCAGGTCTTGAACAAATCGCCCGAGAATGCTGCGAGCTCAAATTAATTTTGTCTTCATGCCCCACGTGCAGCTCATACATATTCAGGTATGCTGTCTAAGTTCCACGGAACGCTTTAAATTAAAACGATTGTGCATATGGTTGTGTATGTGTGTACATATTTACGCACTTTATGTATTGAAGAATAGTAAATTCCAATGGATGTGAATAGAAGCACACTCCACGTTTGTACCTTCATCTTTCAGTGTAGAGTGGAGATCGTAATGCAAATGCATCTGTTCTATTATGGCATAACGCAACATCAATGTGATACAGATAACACTGATATTGCGTTGGAGTGCCACAATGTTTTTTTTAGTACCTTGCTTTTACAAAGTGGTTTTTTTGACCACTTCCCTCATTCTTTCCCCCGCAATAAACCCGCATATATTCTATCAATCACTCCGCACCGAGGGGGCGCCGGTGCGGCCAAGCCACGTGCCTGGCCACCTTTGGCTCCTCGGCGCCGATGTTATGGACACGCAGCAAGCAGGCGCCCGTTCAAGGCCGAGTCGACCTAGGCGACACCCGGGACCGGTCTGAGATATTGCCCACTCATGTTATCTGTTCGCGCGAATCGAACTCGGGCTTGACCGGTTTCGGAGGGCAGAGCGCCGGTAACTGGGCCCATCGCTTTCCACATGCCGCCGCATATGGAGACAACCAACCATGCCCCACGGCGAGCGAACATTATCAAGAGGTGGGTTGGGTTTCACCAGACTCGGTGCAGGAGTCTGCCCTGGCCGCTGCTGCTGCTGCTGCTGGTGCCACTTCCGTGGGTTTCCACATAAGCATGCACGACGTGCTGGCGCTCGTGAGAATAAACAAACGCCAATCTCACAAGAAACGAGCGTGGTTCTCGTGAGACGCACAGCAATGTCTAAGTAGTGCTGCACTCGAGAGCCTTGAGTCACCCCCGAGCTCAGATAGAAAGGCCGGTGTTACATACTTCGTATAACTAAAGTGTATATAAGGGGGAGCGGTGGTGCAGTAATTAGCACTGCGCTATGAGTTCGACAAGCTGGTCACGGCTAACACAGCCGCGAGTGTTTTTTTTCTTAAAACTCTCCCCCCGCCTGCCAAGTGCGATTGAAGTATGGTTTAAAAAGACTCCCAATGACTATCATGGCATCAGGAGCTCTTCATCCAGCAGTAAACTGACAAAGGGCTGAGTAATTATTTTGTGTTCATTATTACGGTGGAAGCTGGATATAAGCACACATTATCTAAGCACAGTTCTGATATAAGCAGCGCACCCTTGCATTACATTGATGGAGGGGGGGGGGAAACTTCTGATACAAACACACTTAAGTTATAAACACATTTTGCCTTGCTTCCAAGGGGTGTGCTTATCTTCTGCGTATCCGATGCCACTTGTTGAGGTGTAAGGTTATTTAGGGTACACGGCATTACTTTTGCCCAGTAGAGGCCATATTTGCTCGGCAGCCTTACCCTCCCGGCCGGAAAGACCCGTTGGCTTGTCTGACCTTTATGGCAAGGCAGATTAATTTTGGCCAAACGTCACTTTGCAAATAGAACATCAGATATGTGGCATCCGATTCATAGTGAGGCCCTACTGAACAAAAACACACACAGCGGGATAACCAATGGTGTTGTTTGGTCCATGGAATATAACCAAAACAAAACCTGATGCTTTAAGAGGATGTGTACTTTACTAAAATCTTCCAAAAGGGTTAGGAAAATAATATCGTATATCTAACGTGGAGTGCTTGTGTATTATCCGCAGGAAATCATGGCTATTGGCAAAAATGCAAGGACAATAATAAGTATTATTATTGAGAGAAAAAACAATCTGCATATTGGTAGATTTTTTTTGCTGATTGCATAGTATTTAATTATAAGCCTTTTCAGCAAAAATTTGTATTCACATTCTTTTGCTAGTTGTAACATGAATGAAACTAACGTATAACGTGATTTACGATCCTTCTAACGATCTACTGCATATAAGTCAAGAAAATGTATTCGACATCGATAAAGTCCCAGCGTTTACGGTGTTGTGGCACTCGATATGGATTATAGGTTTGATTATTTGTCAGATGTAGTGGAATAGAACGCGAATTCGTCCTGATTAGAGTCGACATTTTTGTCATTTTGGCGCGGGGATTTTTTTTTTATTAGTGTTGATTTTTAACGCGGCCTAAAGTGACGACTAATTAAACGATGGTAGCAACGCATTCACCCGTCTCGATAAATGAACGGGACTGTGTCCTCCTTCATTGATCGGCAATATGAGCCCCTTTTTAATGGGATCAATTGCCCTGTTGAGTTCTGACTTCTCCGTCATCCGACCGACCTACCGACCTCAGGTTGTAATAATGTTTTCGAAATCAGACCTGGTAATTTCTGACCCCCCTCGGCCCCACCCCGTGCGCGTTACGTCGTTGCCCATTTACAACTGACATGACCATTCCCAAGTGTCCCTCTCTCCATCACCTGCACGAGGGTCAACAGGCATTTACGTCCCGGCGTGCGTCACGTTGTCATGCTCACCGGCTTGCCGGCCTCGTGCTGTGACTCACCCATCCAGAGAACGTTTTGTTCCACTCGAAATAGGAGATTTTGGGCAATTATCGCGTGCAATTATCGCACCACCGACCAGTGTTAAGCAACTGCGCGCACAACGCGCTGCTTTGTAAACAGTTTTGTGCTGAAATAATTTGTGAAATGTGAACTGCTTCATTTTACAAACTTCTTTTGGACGAAGGCCTCTCCACGCTTTTTATAGTCAGGACGGATGCTTGACCATGCTTCACCCAGCTGGTTTGCGCTGGTTGGGCGACAGGGGCAATTTTGGACCAGTTCAGGTACCGCTGGAGCAAGGCCCTCATGCCCACCAATTGGGTTATCAGTACGCTGACCGCTTCGCCACTGCTCCAATCCCACAGTGATAGTAACATATTAATGGGCAGACAGTTCTTACACATCTTTTTTTAACATTCAGGTACCGATATGCTTCAACGCATAGTATGTTGTTCGTCAACTTCAGTGCCTCAAATGTTGCAGACAGCCCCACAGATGCAACATTCTTACCCCGTTCCCCATCTGGACATCTGTGGCAAAGAGCTTTATAGCTCATCGGATTCCTCCTGCAGTATAAATACATATTCTGGTTCCGAAGTTAATTTGGCAGGAACTAATGCAGTGTTCGGTCTTATCCCTGGCCAGCGAGATTAATGTTCCGCGAGACATGACAAACCAGACAGGACCCAAGGGCACACTGTTGGGGTTGGATCAGACATTCCGTGAGAAGGAGACAAGCATCTGTTTACCTTGTTTGTCTTTTGACATGGTTCTTCATCGACCTTGCCCCCCCCCACCCACCCCTTCAATATCCATAGAGGTCACCTCGGTGATCTCTGGTAGTTTAATTTCCAATTGTTTTCTCTAACTCTAGGGGAAAAAAGACATGCTTTCCAAGATAAACAGAGCCCGAGGGCTGTAATTCCTTCCCGCTTCTCCCTGCACGGCTGGCATGCCTTATCATCCAAAAAAATCTGCGCAAACACGCTCCTTTGTATAATTTGCCATCCTTGTCTCCACCACCCTCCCCCGTTTTACATGCAAAACGATATGTTTTTGTTTGCACTTATAATTTTTACATGCATTTTTTGTGCAAAGTTAGAAGTCACGTGCGTTGTTTTTAGCTCACAGTAAAAATTTCAAGAAGTCGGTGATTTCCTGCACAAGCGACCATTGAGGCAGTGCTCATTTCTTGTTTACAGCCCTAAGGCAGAGGTGGGAATTCCACATTCTCATGTCAGTGGTGTGTCTACCCACAGCATGAGCCAATGTTGACTGCCTCACTAAGTGGTGCTCATTTTATTGACCTAAAAAAAGGATGATGGGCTGAGTCGACACCAACCAGCAAACTGAGTGTTATCCCTGGCCACGGCTAGAATCAGAGGCGAGTGATATCTAAACCGGTCCTGGACCCAACAACTGACCAGCGTTGTGAAGTATTGTCAACCAACCCCCATGACTGACATGGCAAAGTGGACCTTCATCCAGCAGCAGGTTGACAAAGGGCTGTAAAATTATAATAATTGCATGCAGCATTGTGTGTGTTTTATGCTTCGTATCTGACATCATTCCGGAGTGACGTCATTTTTCTACATCAATGCTGCCGTCAACAGGAGGCCTTCATATTCTTCACATTTAGCATATTCCCTCCTACTTTGTTGTTGATGATATTATTAAACATTGACATCTATTTATAACAGTGGCAACCTCTCTCTTTCTCTCTCCCGTCCGTTGTCTTTCTCCCACGGGCACGTGGCGCCGCGTGCAGACGGTGGGCTGTGACGGGATCCTGGGCTCGGACAACGTGGTGGACAAGTGCGGCGTGTGCGGAGGGGACAACACCGCCTGCAAGGTGGTCTCAGGCGTGTACAAGCGCTCGGCCACCTCCGTGGGCTACCACAAGATCCTGGAGATCCCCAAGGGTGCCATCAAGATCAACATCACCGAGATGAGCAAGAGCAGGAACTACCTCGGTGAGGGTGCATCTCAAGCCCGCACGGGCGTCGCTGCGCGGCACGTGCGACCTTCCGCACACGCTGGTCATCCTGTTCTCCCTTTCCTCCATTGTGTACGCTCGACTCGTTGTATTTCGGGTCAAACCGTCAATCAATCACTTTCTTTTCTTAGAATGAGTCAAGAGCCGCCCCCCCCCCCCCGTGGGATCAGATGTCCCCTTTGCAAGGAGAATCGGGAAATGATTCGCATCGAACGGGTGCCGTTGTTTGATTTTCTTTGCGTGGTTTAAATTTGCGGTGTTTCTTTTTCACTGACTGAGGTCGGTGGATAATAATATCAGCCAAGAATTTAGCTTAGAATTCCAGCAATGCTGTGCTGATATTTTCAGCTAAATTTCTTGAGTTTTATTTATTTTAAGTGTAGGGCAATTGTGTAGTTTTTACATATGTGAAGCACTCCCGGAAACCTTTATTGATGTGGGGGTGTGCTATAAAATAATGATTGATTGATGAATCTGTAATTTGACCGATAGAATTTACATGCATTTTAAGCATAATCATTGCAGACCTGCCAGGAGCAACTTTAAGAGAAGTGCGAATTCCGACTTCAAATTATTCATCGTTGTGCTGCGACTGCATTCACCGCAGTTGAACGACCACTGTGAGCAGACGTCCTAATGATCCACGTGCCACTTAGTAACTCGATCCGTAGAGATGCTGAAAGTTACGGAACAAATAAGGCCCTTCGGCTTTGTGGGGCTCACCCTTCCAACAGTGATGGAAATTCACATCCACAACGTTTACAACTGATTTCACAAGCTGGACTTAAATTAAACATTGAGGCTGGCTTAAACGGGCCATTTATTTAACCGTGCAAAAAAAAAAACCTCATCCAAATAACCCGTTTTTTAAAAAGGGAACTAAAGTTTCCAAATTGAGCGGCGATTGCATCTCGAGCCACTGCTCACAATAGCTCGATTTTTTTTCCTAATGGTAAATGAAAGTGGGGCAGGGCTGGCTCAAGAGACATGTGGAGCCTATTTAAGACCTGGCCCCTTCTGGTGGAGCAATCGTTGTGCAATTTTGCAGGCAATGAAATGTGAACCTGGGAAGCCAATTTCTGGCACAGTTCATGAGAAAAATCCGAAGTAATGAAGAACCCCCTGGAAGCAACTCTTAATTAAATGGAAACACCTGAATATGTGCCCCATTAGTAACTTCGGGCTTAAAGGAACATCAATATAGCTGTAAACATTACACTCAGTTTGAAAATCCTTTCCGTTCAGCAATATTATAGCCGCTCACGCCGATAATGACAGTTTACATAATTTACGGGGAAAGGGTGAAGTGCATAATCAAAAAGCGGGGTGGGATGTTGTGTGAGCGTATATGAAACTAAGTGTATAAATACGTGATCTACGTCCATGACTTGATTCGCCGATTCACTGTTGTTTTTTTAATTATATACATGTCAACTACAGCGTAGGTTTTCACATTTGATGTGTTTTCGAGTTGTACCATGTGCTGTACCATGTGTTGTTCCATGTGAATGATTTTTTTCAAGCACATGTCAAGTACGTGTAAATTATAGGTCCAGGTTTAAGTTTGTGAGCCCTGTGATGATAGCTTCGGGAGTAGCGTGCCGGCGAGCGGGCCGAGAAATATGGTCCCTTGTTTGGCTCGGGTGGTCTCAGTCACTTGCACTGTTTGGGTCATCTTTCATACCGCGGATCGTCTGTAACGCCGTCCCACTTGAAGAAGAGGTGTGCACAGCGACCAATCGCTCTTCTGAAAGCAGTTGATCGAGCACCACAGGTTTCTTGGGAGAGCAAAGCCAAGCGGAGCGTGAATTGATGTCAGTTGCTTGAAGAAGCTCCCAGCACCTTCAATGAAATGTCGAACAACGTGCCGGACAACATGCGGTCCAACTCGAAAACACATCAGAGATATATATATACACGTATATAAATAGCTGTTAATATATATATATGTTTTGGGATCAGTAATAATGGCTTGGAAATGCTGCATTGTCTTCTTCTTCAGTGTAGTGGCGTGCTCGCCCTTCTGTCACGGACGCTTCAAGCGCCAGAGCAGTTTACTGCGCTGTGCCAGTAACACTGTGGAGGCAACGGCAATCAATATGTAGACGTGCAGTTTTTTTTATTATTAAGTGTCGCTGCAGTTATGGGAGCTTTTTGTTGTTGCCCAGCTAAGATTTACACGTTCATTAGTCGGTCGTTAACAAGGCAATATACTTGGCCCTATTTCAATTTTGAATGATTTACAGAGAACCGCTACATTTGTGCACTTCGTGAAATTCTGTAATGAGCTTTAGCATTTGATTTTTTATTATTTTTCTTTCCTCCAATGAGCTACAGTGACACATCGCTAATTATATTTTATATATATTCATCACAAATGACTTATCGTGGTTGTATTAGATCATGATTTAATGTGGGGTATGTCGTGGAGTAGGTGTGAGCCATCCGTTAACATTCTGAATGTTATTGTGATGCACTGCGCTATTTCATATACATAGTTACAGTTTGTTATTTTGTTAACAGGGCATTTATCGAAGCTGATCGAACATTTCAGCTGTCACACATTCACTGACGAGTCCTAGTCATACAATTCACCTGTGGACAATTTCATCAACCACTGCTGGATGAAGGCCTCCCCAAGCCATTGCCATCTGTCATGATCCTGGGATATCATAATCTATTTAGCATATTCATATGAGCTGATTAATGTTAACATTAGCATTTGTGAACATTGGTTCAATAAAGTCAGTTATTAGCTATTGCCGCCGCATAATATCCATTAGATTTTAAATACAGGATAATTAAAAGATAACATTTTGCCTTGCACACAATGTTCTCCCGCCACTGCAAGGCGCATGCCCTTTCAGGGAGAGGTTGAACGAATGTCCCATTGCACAGCGATTGAAGTTTACGGGTGTGCACACACTTTACCCCACCGCAAAAGATACGTCTGACCATTTCACAGCATTGCACTTATGCAGTGCTGGGCCATGGATCCAATTATAGCAGAGTTTACGATTAACTGACTGCATACGGTTCTCTGCTGCTGCATATGTTTCGCAATGCATGACAAAGCTCTGAATGGATTAATTAGGAGTGATACCTTTTCTCATAATTGCAATATCGGTCACCCGTGTGGCATCTAATTCAGATTAAGTATTCTTCACACGCACAAACCGGCTCTCTTTGACTGCCAGCTCGAACTAAAGCTGCTACACATTGACAATCCAATCAGGTGCCTCAGCAATAGAGCGAGAGGCCTGCAATTGGAAAGTTACGAGTTCACACCCTGAATGTGGCGTTGATTCAGCCCGTTATCCCTCTCTAGCCGATAAAAATAAGTACCAATTTGTTGGCAAGTCTACGATGCTTGTCTCATGGATAGACTCGCCCATGTCATTGGAATGTGGAATTTCCACCACTGGCTCAGGGCGGTAAATGGGAGACAAGCACCACCTCATTGCACATTTGAGCTGCAAATTTCTTTGACTTCACTAAATTGGCCTGGCATGAACTCTATTGTCAAGTCGAAGTGAAGTTTTAGGATAGCCAGTTTGCGACATTGTTTCCAATACTGCAGGTATTATGCGATGCCAAGATCACGGGTCATTTTTTTTATTTTTTGTCCTTCCCCCATACCTCCGATTAGCACGGTTGGCTACGTACGGTGCCAAAAAAGTTCAACATACATAGTACAACAATGCCTTGTAATGCCATTATCAAATTCACTCACTGTTCATTAGCAAGAGAGTGTTTATGTATGTATTTATCCTGCAATTCAGAGAAATGTCAGCTCCTATCTGGTATATACATATATACTGTATGGCTTTTCATATCAGTGGGTCATGTATTAATGCAGCAATATTACGGCAAGACCCACCAACAGGTATAGTATATTGCATTGGGAAAGTTAAATAGGTATTGCGGTTCAGAGTACCACCATTCGCAATAATTTTAAATCTAAAATAGAACAGATGGACTGATGGAGTGTGAGAGGCAGGAGCATGGAGATGAACGAGACGGCACTTTCGTGATAGATGGGATGCGATGATAGCCAACAATAGAGGACTGCTACTGCTGCTGGAAGTTCTTGGGACCCAGCGGTCTCTGTAATGAGGCTGGACAGGAAGGCGATACCGATGTTGGCCACATTCTACTCTTGAGCGAGACAAACAAAAACGAATGTCGCAGGGCGACCGAGAACACGACCTTTATAGAAACATCGTCGAAAAAACGAAGAGTGTCAGAAAATTGATTGGTATGTCCCGCCAGCTACATGCGAGCAGACGCTGATGAATATGACAACGGAAGGAGTGTGGCTCCTCTAGCTTTTGTTTTGTCCGCACGTTTTGAATTTGAGGCATCAGACTCTGTCGACCTAAACTCCAATGGGGTGGCCTTGGGTGCCCGTGACCTTCGCTTGTGTTTGAACGAGATCAATGGCTTTATTTTGCCTTTTTGGACAAAGCCCTCATCCCCAGGAGCTTTGAGATCTATGTATAATAATAACAAATTTGTTTTTTGAGTCTTAAGCATTTTTTTCCCCTGTTTAAATCTTTTTTTTGCATTTTCAAATTCCTAGTCACTTAAATAAGCGGTTAGTTCTCTAACTGCTGATTTAGTTTTCTGCGCATTTGGTTTATAACAACTGTGCGGCACTTTGTAGTTCGGTAACGATTTTTTTGTTTTCGTTTAATCCATGAACATTTATTATTTGGGTCGCAACAAAGTAAAACATTATATACATGGTACAAAAATGGTCGTCCAACAGTCGATGAAATTGCTAACTTGGAAAGCCGCTTGGTATTTATGTGTTTGGAAAATTAATGTTGGCATTGAGTGTCTTGAGGACCAGCGGGATGGCAAGAGATCAGATTACTGCACTTTGCGAGGAGGTGCTGAGTGTGGATGGACTGGATTAGGGAGATGTGCCAAGTACTGAACTGAGTTCATGGGAAAGGGCTTGCTCTTGGCTTCTCAGTTAACCTCCTGTCATGCCCTGCGCTCTGACTCCTACATCAGGTGGAATTATTAACACTGCCACCAGCAGCCCCCTCTGTGCCTTTCGCCACTTTGTATTGCCAAGGCTGTTCGTTGGAGTCCGGAGTATTAGTGCTGTAGAGCGGGCAACAATGCAAGGGTTCGTCGGTTGAAATCGATTCTTTATGCATTCGACACATCCATCCAAATTGTGCGCTTGAGAATCGATTATTTTCTCGTGGAATGTGTTGTGCGTGTTTCGATTTAAAGCTTTCGTGACTGCAGGGATTCATCTTCTTGGTTCTTTCGGTAAAGTCACGTAGAATGGAAATAAAATGATACAAATAAAACATAATAAAATAAACGTAATAAAATTAAATTATTATGCTTTATTCTTATTATATTATGTCCACGTTACATTGAGTGTAATGGCAAAAAGATAATTTCCCGAGTCGGACCAAGTCATTGAATTGTGATGGGTGGAGGGAGGTAAATCGTTACTTCCTTAGTTGGAGTGCAGTGCATGGCTTATGCATGCACAAGAGGAGTCAAGACAGTTTTTGCAATGAGGCATTAAAAGTGTGCGTCTGCTCGCATGCATTGTTTCATTTATTTTTTGCAGGCTTGACCATTCATGCACATTTTATATTCCATGGCTAATGTGTAAAGACGGAGATTGAAAACCCACCTAATATCCTGGCATCGCTTTCTCTTTGGAGTTTCATTCCTAAACGATTGAAGACGACAAAGACAGCAGGAGCTTGAGAAGCCACAGCACTGCCCGTAATTCTCAAAAAAAACATTAATTGGTAACACGTGCTTAATGCGTTTTGACTGCGTATTTTATATAACACATAGTGTCATCTAGACGGAACAGATACATATTTTTCTAGAAATGCTTTGCTTTCCTCTCTCTCTCTCTCCCTCCTTGTGTTAGCGTTCAAAAATTCCTCACTGGAAAAACTGGCATTAAGTCAATTTTGCACACAAAAAAACACACACTTGTCAGCTGTCTTGAATGCCTTCCTTGAAATACTTTGCGCATAAAGAGCTCAACGTTTTTTTTCTCACTTTTGGGGAGGTGGCTGCTGCCGCTGCTGGCTGGAGCGAGCGGACAGGGAATGGGTGACCTTCTGCTTGCTGTACCCCCCCCCCCCTTCGCGCCCCCCCCCCCCCCCCCACCAGCCCCCCAACAAACCTACGGAATGTCCACCTGCTGTGCATTCACATTCACACCATCGGTTCCTGGTGCAGTGCAGTCGAGTGTAAAGCTCTGCCAAGATTTATCTACTGTCTGCCACCATTACAGCTGTCCCCTGACAGGGCTAACCAGTGTCACTGCACGACAGACACAGCTCCGTCAGTGTGTCCGGCGTGGGGAGTGGAGGGGGGGGGGTTCGTGTTCGTCTTCACTTTTAAACAGCTGTTCAGTGACAGGGCTAACTGGTGGCCCCACTGACAGACACAGCTCCCAGCTCTTCGTCTAAGATTTTTTTTTTTGTGGGATGGCTTGACGGCAAAGAGACAAAGCCGGAGCAGGGCGAGGGTGAAGGGCCCATCCATCACTTGTCACGCCGCGGCCGTGCTGAGCCACTCGCAGTGTGGCTCCCTCGTCGCGCCGAAGGTCACCGCAAGCCCTCTACCCCCCCCACCACCCACCGGGGTGCTTCCATTGCGTCCCGCAGCACTGACAAATTCAGTCATTGAAAGCGGAGCGGCTCTCGGCGCGCGTGCGCTCGCTCGCTCGCTCGCGTCCACGTGCGTGGACGCGAGCGAGACGGCCGTGCGGAATTGTGCGCCGAGTCGCATTCCTTTTTGCTGAAGGCTGGCAGTGCTGTAGTCGTGGCCGAGCTACGTTTCCAGATGGGGTGGTGGGTTTTTTTTTCTCTTCCACAACGGACTGCTGTTCGCTTTAGCCCTGTGACTAATCTCCCGTTATTTTTTTAAAGCCGCCGTTTTCTCAGGCTTCTTAAAAGGCTCTTCCGACATGTCGCCCTCTCACGCGCGTCCGCAATGCGGGACGCACCTGATCTTTATAACTCATAGGCTCAGCCGCAGTGGAAACAAAGCCGGGGGAATAAAAAAAACCCCACGGCGTTGACCTTTCACCCCACCGCCATGCGGCCACAGGCCGCTTTGCGAGGGGTCCTTTTTGGTACCGTATAATAAATGCGAACGGGGGTCATGTCCATCTGCCTTATTAATGTCCAGCCGCATGCTTCGCTTGCTTTTTCCAGTCCCTCTTATTTCGGTTGTTTGCACAAGCAGATCCATGGCTGCGTGGAGTGACCATCCATCAAAGTGCCAACGTGGGTCCTTAGAACGTGCAGTGTTTGTGCCCGCCAGCTTTTGTGTGGGATGCTTCAATATACCCCCCTCCCCTTTTGTTGTTTTGCCTGAGAACTTCATTCATAGTGCCTTGGAGATGTAACATTGTTCCACAGCTGGTAATCCTGGGTGCATCTGAAAGGAGATACCCATTGCTTTGAATGATGAAGGTCACAGTCATTAAGCGACCTGTTATATGGCGTGCAGGGAAAATTGATTGCCTCCGTGGAAGTGCATATGTGGACTTCCACTAAGCTCGGTTATAAGGGATCCAGAGGTTGGATTTTTTTTTCTCGCGTGCTGAATCGAGGTATTGCTTCCCTTGAGCAAACGCACCGACAGAGTTCTGCCAAGTCATAATGCCTGCATGTAAAACCCGGCGGCGCGTGTGTTTGAGCGCTCTAATGTATCCTTTGCTTGCATTACCTTTCCGCCAGCCCTGAGGAGTCACGCTGGACAGTCCATCATTAACGGGAACTGGGCCATCGACCGGCCAGGAAAATACGAGGCCGCGGGGACGATGTTCATGTACAAACGACCGAACGAGATTAGCAGCACCGCCGGTGAATCCTTCATCGCGGACGGGCCAACGACTGACGTTCTGGACGTCTTTGTAAGTTTCACTCATTTGTGTTATACAGGGTGCTTCAAAAACATGTTTACACTTAAGTGGGACTATCGTTTTTAACGGAAAAAGAACGGATAATACACGGTAACGTGATAACTAATGTATGTTAATAGCTTTAAAAAGTCAAAGAGCCTCCACTTGTTTGCCATCATTGTCAACACGTGGCCTGGAATCTTCTCCAGGTGGTCTCCAGAGCCCAGAGCCAGCGGCACATTTCTCGTGGTATTGTTGCAAATTCTCTGAAGTGTTAACATCTTTTTGAAGCACACTGTATTTTGTTCGTCTGAATGTTGAACTTCTTCTGCACCGTACGTAGCCAACCGTGCTCATCGTGGTGTGGTTTTTATCCAGAGTGCTCTGGTTCCCTCCCACACACTTAAAAAAAACTGATTTGTGGGTGCATTAATTCATCGCATAGTCTACTGACTCAAGTGACTTATGATTGATGCGTGTTTCCTGTTCATTCCACCGCATTTCTCTTGACTTAGCCTTTCAGTTAAGATTGGATATATTTTTGTTATTACGGGAAATTAAACTACTGTTTATATGGATATTGCAATGCAGATTATCGGAAAGGTCTGATGTAACTTTTGCAGATTTACTCGTTATGCCCTAAGGTACACTTGCAGCGATTTGCCTGGACGGACTCATGTTCCTGTAAAGCGACGTGTTCGTTTAACCGTATCACAATACAGAGGGGGCGCTTTGCATTGCACCATGATCGTGCGGGTAGCATACGCCCATTTCAATGTTTTATTTTGTGCCGTAAATGTACATTGTGAAATGTTTGAAAAAGCAAACAATCCCTTAAGAGGGCACTTCTCTAATTGCCGATGCTCGCTATGCTCTACTTGTGTTTACGTAAGCCACAAACTGAGATCCACAATACATTCCCCTGGCTCCCAACCAAATGCCAAGACGTCGCTCAGACTAAACGGCAGGATGCTTACACAAGCAAGCGCTTCTGCAGTAACAGGAGGAGTGGCGTTTATAGACGCTTCGTATTCTATGTGGGTTGTAATTATGCTGCTCCACTTCAACAGATGATCTACCAGCAGTCGAACCCCGGGGTTCACTTCGAGTACGTCCTGCCTTCAGATAATGTGGTGAGCAGCCAGCTGGACCCGAATCCGCCCAATCACAATTTGGGTGAGCACGCCAGCACTTATTAACTTCCCATAAGCAGTTCATTATAAATATATATGTTTTGGGGGCGGGGGGGGGGCTTGCAACGGCGGTAAGGATGAAGAAAAGAGTCATAATCTTGGCACGCGGGCTTTCACTGTACAGAATGTGGATATATTTTCATAAACTTTGGATTTTAACAGTCTCATTTGGCATGACTTTTGTGATTTTTTTTGTTGCAATAGCATTTTACTTGTCATTAAACTATGAAGTTACTGGGGGAGCGGTAGCGCATTAGTTAGAGCACCGCACTATGAATCTGTCGACCTGAGTTTGATTTCTGGCCACGGCTAACAACTGTTGCGAGTGATATCTGAACCGACCTACGCTGACTGGCATGTATGATCAAACAACACCGACAAATGATGCAGTGATGCAGTGTGGAGTGGCCTTCATCCGGCAGTGAATTGACAAAGGACTGTACAGTATATATCGAACAAATACGGTCACTACATCGCACGCTTTCAGATTTGCTTCTATGGCCGTCTGGAACGCTCTTCCTACCAATATTAGGAAGCCACTGGGGCTATGCACTTTTAAATAATGTCGAATGAACACTAGAACACTAATTTCTTTAGAACTGCTTTTTGTGTTTAGTTTGTTGTCCTTCCCCCGCACATTCGATTAGCACAATTGGCTACATTCTGGAGCGAAAGAAGTGCAACACAGTTACTACTAATTTGGCCTAGTAGGGTCACATTGGTAAAAGCATACATAAGTCATACTGGATAATATTTATGTAAGTACATTAGAGTACCAGTGTTTAACATATATACACTAATGCTGTAATTATTTTAAATCTATGGCTTGACAAAACCTTTAAGAGACGTTATATAAGCTGTTATCGTGAAAAAAATGGCATTGTTACATAATAACCTGCAATATAATTTCAAGGTCAAAAAAAAGTATCACTTCAACCGCGTAAATTAACACATTTCACAACGTCTCATTTTCTGTACGGTAATTGATTTGCTGTAATTGAAGATACTCTCTGATTTGACCCCCAGCAAAATTGAGGTCGGCGTATAATGTGCCATATTTATGCAATGCTGCGTTATTTCGCTATGCTTCGTCTATTTGCACGTAAAACCTAACCAATTGGCACTGCAAGCGGGTTGACTTTGCATGTCTACGAACGATGTTGGCATGGCAGAGGAGGCGTACAACGGGCAGCTGTCGGGCTCAGCCATTGGAGGAGGAGGAGGCGCCGGCGGCGGCAGAGGAGGGCACTCGACCGTTACCCACACTGCAACGGACCCTGCGGGCGGTCACCTGGGACCCGGGCAGCCTGGCGTGCCACCTGCGTCTCCCTGGCTCCGTGACTATAACTGGAAGAGGGTGGGCACCACGGAATGCTCTTCCACCTGCGGCAGAGGTGAGCCGTCCCACCCAGACATTTGATTTCAGACGGATTTGTCTGGGTCGACAACCCAGAATTATTTTTTTTCCGCCGGGCACACCACATTTGGTACATCTCTCTCCCGATAGCTGAGGCTGCTCGTGAGCATGGCAGCTTCTCCTCCAGTCTTACAAGCGACCAAGAAAATATTCAGTTAGAAATAATGGCCTGGTTTCACCCGTGCTGAACACAGTAAAGGCAGCCCTTATGTTCGAGTAATACATTTGCACAAATCATCCACATGGCCCGAAGGCTACATGTGTGGAATGGCTGTTTTTTTTCCATCGGTGGTGTTATTATTATTATAGCAAGTAATCCAAGGATTGATTCCAGGTGAAAGGATATTTTAAAGTACTGAGTACAAATAAAGTAATAAATATCTCACAATATTCGTCATCAACACTGCATTATAATCTGCCTATTCCAATATTTTCTGCATGATGACAAATGTGAGGCATGTTTTACGTTTGCTTGTGGACCACTGAAATAACTTTTTTTTATTATTCGTATAAATAATTATATTTCAATAGAAATGTTTTGCACAGTTATAAATGAATTATAACTATAATAATTTGCAGCTTTCTTGCAGATAAAGGCCTTCCCCGTGGCATGTCATTCATGGGGGTTGTTGCAGGGTTGTACAAACATACACACTTCTAAACTCTAGTAATTATTTATTCATCATCATAAGCTTTGATTTATCTACTGCTGGATGAAAGCATCCCAAAGCCATTGCCGTCCCTCATGGGTGCGCAATACAACAATCTAACCAGCTGCGCATAAGCTGATTTCACTGATACAATTTTTTCCCTTCAAATGTATATAAGGCCACAAGCGAGATCTAAGTTAGATTCCCGGTCACGGATAACGTCAGTGGCGGGTGATAGCGCAACCAGTAATGGGTTTCACATTTCACCGTCCACACTGACCGGCGTGGTGAAGTATGGTCAAACAGCCCCCATGAGCAACAGAACGTGAAGGAGGCCTTCATCCAGCAGTGGATTGAGAAATGGCTCTAAATCGTTGTTTTTATTATTACTACTTCTACTACTACACAAATGCAGGTTTGTAGAAAATGCAGACAGAAATGCTATTCACCACTCGTCGCTTGTACAAGCACATTGTTAAGCACGTGTTTTAAAATAGGTATGCTTTCTCGTCTGGAATTTACGGTATGTAAACGCATAGCATGAGCATCGCAACAACGTACACAGCTATGCGAAAACTATTTCTATTTATGGTTAAAACAATGGCAGTTAATAGTAAGCACACCACAGTATTTAGAGAACATTATTATCAACAGCTGTTTACTCTGCTGTGCACAGTGCATCTGTACGTGTGGTGTCTGCGGACATACCTGTACGTCCACGATTGCCCCACTCGCGTGCCCATCGCTCCCTGACCCCTTGCCCTTGACTCTCTGCTGCTGACCTCACACGCCGCGCCGACGTGAGCTCCCCCGATGCAATATTGCAAATCAAACGCTCTACTTGTTTCAAATACATTTATTGGGTTTCTATGTACTGTATTAGATTAAAATTTTATTTGCAAAATCGATGGGGTCACCTTACACGTCATTTCTCCAAAAACATAACCTTTTTGTGATAACGGTGAAAATTCTTAAGTTCTTTAATATTTTATTAAATAAATGCCTTCAGGATGTACAACCATGTATCGTTTGGTTGGTATACAGGAGGTCTTGGGTTCGATCCCGACCCTGGCACCTGCTGTATATTTTGAGTTTGCGTGTCTCTCTCTCTCTCTCACCGTGGTCAGGTGGATTTCACTGCAGGTCGTCCGGTTTTTCCCTCCACATTCAGAATCAACAAAATGCTTTTAGAGTATTTGGCCTCTACACATTTCCACGTGATAAGCCACTTCGCTGAGCTGTCATTTGTGGGCAGCCGGGTCGCTTCTGAAAAAAGAGCTACATAACTCAGCGGGGCCTTACCTGGTAAAATTAAAATAAAATTACGGAAAATGGCAAAGGCTTGGGGCGGCGCTCATCCAGCAGTGCTATTGACCGTGGCTGACCGATGGTGACGACGGTCAAGCGGGGGGGGGGGGGGGTAGGGGGGGGGGCGGTACAATGTCCCGCTTATTGTGATGGAGAATCCCGGCGGCCGTTTTTCTTCCCCCCCCGCCCCGCAGGCAAACAGCTGCCAGTGTTCCGCTGCGTGAGGCGCACCACCCAAGAGGAGGTGTCCGACACCAACTGCGACTCGTCGTCGCGGCCGCCTGAGGAGGAGGAGCCCTGTAACGTTCAGCCTTGCCCCGCATTGTGAGAGCCCCCCCAACCACCCCCTGCCCCCTGCCTCCCCCCATTGAACGGTCACCATTCGGTCGCGGTGCCAGCGACGACGATGATGATGATGCCGCGTCAGTTGATCGTCGATTAACGTTGCTCACGATAAGGTCTATTTTACGCGTTCCTAACCCAAAAAGCCTTTGTTATAATATTGGTCGCGATAGCCTACGTGTTAGATTGATTAATGTTTAATTCGCACCCTCACGAGATACGTGCGTTCTGTCGCGTTTCTAAGAATCGACGGTTTGTGTATGTTGTACGTGACGGGCTCAACGTCATCCCTGCAGCCACTAGAGGCGCTATCATTCACACCGATTCCAAAACAAATAATTGATTACTCACGAGAAATGTGACCTTGAATGGAGGAACATCTGGTAGGTGCGGTGGGGGTGAGGGGAGATGGGGGGGGAGTGGATATTTCCACCCGTTCCACAGAGTAGATTGTGGTTCGTTATAATTGCTGTTCCAGGCCTCCGTCTGGGTGGTGCACCTCAACACGGCAGTTACCGCAGTGTGACAAATATGAAATTATGGAATTGAACCATGACCCTGGATTGCAACAATTCATGAAATCGCCTAGGCTCCAGGGTTGAATAGCTTATCTTCTCACCCTGACTGTTCAGTACGCAACAGCAGTACAGTGGTTTTATTTTATTTACAATGTTTTTTGTTGTTGTCACCTTCGTGCCAGCTCACCACAAATCAGCATCAAAGAATGAGCACAAAGTATGCCTTCAGGCGCCTTTCTACCATTTCCTGGTGCAGCCAATGGCACCGTTAACTGCCAGGCCAGGCCCCTAAAATCCCACGGTAGTTCTCAACTTCTGACTGCCCCAATCATAATTTACAACTTTACAGAAATCTATTTTTTACATCACATTTGCTTCGGATCAGACTTCCTCTAGAAGGAAATACTCTGGATTAAACTAAAGTGTATTTTGTGGTCGTAATTTTTCTCTATGAAACATAAGCAACACGCATGTCATATATCATTGATCAGCATAGCAAGTTTCATCAACACAAGCCTTCGCGATTACATTTTAAAGTTGCTTGATTTGTATGTGTAGCTGTATACAATATCTGGCTAATGTTCTCCGTATTTACACGAATGAATAACAAATCTGCGCGAAAGTTATTTTGTATAAGTACAGCTGTCTTTCGGGATCTGGGAGAATTGTGAATAAAATGTCTATTTGCATCACAAAGCCAGAGTGGGTAATTAATTTCAAGAACTGCAACTTGGCGTTTTTATAGCTTACAGCCTTACAAAACAAGATTATAGTGGGAGGTCTCTCCATATCTTCTGCTGTTCCCGGGTCTGGAAATCTCTCCTGCTGACCATCCTTGCTGTTGACTCGGTGCCCTTGTTCATGTTCAGGCTCACTATTCCGTTATTCTCTGCTCATAAATAACTATTTCTGGTCTTTAAAAAATATATATTCAGCATAACTACACACCTCCTTTTTCCCTGGACTGCTCATATCCCACTGTTTTGCGCAGCGTCTTGAGACACGGTTGATGGCAGACGCTCTATAATGCAAGTTGTATGCGAATGCCTTTGACAAAAATCTCCCAGAATATTCCCAACCTCATCAGATTTTTCAGGATAGTGCTACGCAGGGTTGAGCTGGGATAGTGCTTAGATGGGCGATCACCACGCATAAAAAAACAGGTGTTGTAGGCTGCAGCAGGACTACGTTGTTAACAGGGGGCAGTGTAGTAACATTCTTTGTTATACGGTACTATGCTCCAATGTCTATGCTCCCCATCTTTGCCAACCCACACTGCTCAGCGTAGTGAAGTATAGTCAAACAACCACGACCTCACTGGGTGGAACCCCTGCCCCGTGCGAAATGTCACATGACCCTGGCCTATCACCGCACCTCTGATTAGCACGGTTGGCTACGTATGGTGCGAAAGAAGTTCCACATACATACACCCACATAGACTCACACAGACACCCATAGTTTGCTGTCCTTCCCCCGCACCTCCGATTAGCACGGTTGGCTACGTACGGTGCAAACAAACTTCAACATACATACATACACGACAGCTTGTACAGCTTGGGGAGTATCTCATCCTCATCCAGCCATGGATTGACAAAAGGGCTCTCTACGCCAGTGTTCTTCGTTGCAAGGCCCCGCGGGCCACTCTCGGCCCCTGGTGGCCTTTAGTGCGGCCCCTGACATCCGGCCCCAGACAATACACAAATGGTTAAAACACCCCCCACCGTCATCATCGTGCTGCTGTCAAACCCAGATGGCGACAAATGGTGTCGCAGCCCTCACACGCAATGATGATGTCTCATCGGCGAAAGTGGCCCCCCTCTAAAAATTAGTGAAGAACCACTGCTCTACGTGTACAACGTACATGTGCCTACGCGAGTGGGTGTGAAGGACACGCTGTTCTCTTTCTATCGCCCGCTCCCTCCCTCCCTCCCTCTGTCTCTGCAACCATGTCCCACGCGATCCTCTTCGCGGACTTTGCAGCTGGGACCTGGGCGAGTGGTCCGAGTGCAGCAAGACGTGCGGCACGGGGAACCAGCACCGCCAGGTGCTGTGCCGCCAGGTGTACGCGGGCCGCGTCACCACGGTGCAACCACACCGGTGCCGCACGCTGGAGAAGCCCGAGACCACCACCACGTGCCAGCTTAAGATCTGCAGCGAGTGGCAGATCCGCTCCGAGTGGAGCTCCGTGAGTAGCTTCGTGGTTTCCTTCCCCCTCCCCACCCCCCCCCCCCCCCCCAAAAAAAAACATTTTATGAACAAGACACAACACAGAGGATATGAAAGTGGGGAGGTTGACACCAGCACAAACAAATTACGGATTACAGTGCAATGATAACACACCTTAACCGCATGTTTCAATACACTCTTTCAATAAACTCTACAACCCCCTGGTGTCTTCCTAAGCTCTGATACCCCTCTGTAGGAGAAGAATTAGAAAAAAAGTGAGGGGGAAGTGCCTAAATGCCCCTCATGAATGCTCTTAAGAATCAATTCCCACAGAAGGAGAGGTAGTGAAGGGGTTACATGAGTAGCTTCGTGTTTAAAACAAAAGAGTATGCTCCTGAACGCTGCCCATTGCGTGAGTAGTGGGGCAGTGAGCCCAAACCGCCTTCTCTCTCCCCTTCCCCGTAGGCACCAGGCCTCTCTCCCCGTCGCTCGCTTTGTACCGGGCTCTTGTTTAATAATAAGAACCATAAACAAAGATGTTTCTGACCCAATAAGCAATGAGAAATAAATGCTGCTGGGCGACGTGAAGGAAGCTGAGCTCCGTACAGTGAAATGAATAAAAATTCTCGAGGGCGGAAAATTTACTATAATATTATAAATTATGATAGTTATAGGAAGAGAGAGTTTCAGCCAAAGACATACCATTGGGCAAAGGACTAAAGAAAAAGCAATTAACTGACATACTAACTAGTTGCTATGAAAGACGGTTCAGAAGCATGGACATTGACACAAGAAAATGGAACAGAAGTGCACACAGGTGAGGAACACATGGGTTACGGAACACAGGTTAAAGACGTTTCGATTCATGTGATACATCATGGATTCACGTGACCCCTGCACCCACTTAGGTGGCTGCTACATTCATCACAATGTCGAATTGCGACCCTGAATGGGGATAATTGAATTTCCAGGTGATATTACTCGGCACTGCTGTTACTCGTGGTCAGGAATGTAACTCAAGTTGCTAGGTTCAAAGTGAAGTGTGTTAACCACTATGCCACTGCCCCCCTCCCCGAATACCCATATTATTAATGTTTAAGTACGTGTATTTAATTGTACGGTTATTAAAGGATTTAACACAACATGCAAAAAGTAAGTAAACGCGGACCAAATGCGGAACGGCAATGAATCGGCAGAGTTCGAATGAAGGTCGTTCAAACATGGCAACAATTTACGAAGCATCCGAATGCAACATCTTAAGAATGCCGTACGAGAAAAAGCAGAGTGCACATCATGACATTTACGGAAGATGCTCGGGAATGCAGGCTATGTGCGCGTGTGTGGGTGGAGCGGTCGTGTAGCGGTTAGCGCGCTGCGAACCTGGCGACCCAAGTTCGATTCCCGCTCACGGCCAAACACCAGTGAAGATTACCTGAACCGGTCCTGGGCCTTCCCTAGGTTCGACTCAGCCTTAAATGAGTACCAAGTGCGGTGTGTAATCATCGCCACTGGCGAGACAAAGGCAGTCGGACGTGGTGCTGGCCACCCACCCCCCCTCATGCACCGTTCATAGGTGCTCGCTAACAGCACTTACCCCAACAGTCTGTTAAGGCTACACGGGGGGGGATCTTTGTCGTTCTTTCTTTGTTCATCGCGCGTCTCGTGGCAACTCGGCAGTGCTCCGTGCCGTGCGGGCTGGGCCAGCGGAGCCGCGACGTGAAGTGCGTGAGTAACCTGGGTGACGCGGTGGACGACGGCGAGTGCAACATGAAGCTGCGGCCCACCGACAGCGAGAACTGTGACATGGGGGCCTGCGCCAAGAGCTGGTTCCTCACCGATTGGAGCGAGCGGGTAAGGCCGTGGGACCACAGTTTACTGGGTGGGTTTGGGAGCGGGAGGGGGGGGGGGGGCGAGGCAGAAGAATATTGAATTATTCAGCAAGAATGACACAATCCTCCTTTGCTCATTTAAGGATGAGGATTTGCGGTTATTGAGCCCCTAAATACCACGGCATCTTAAAGTGCTTTACCTAACAAACAAACCACTAGAATACAGTATTGCCAGCTTTGAAATGTTATTAATGTAAATGTGAACTATTTAGCGTTTTACCAGATCATTAATGTCTTTTCATCCACCAATACAGACTTAAACTTGGACGTGCGATTTGCACATACATGCTGTGCGCTAGAGAGATCCACCAATAGTTTGCATATCATTTTCAATAGTCTCAAAAGATACACACGATGTAATTTGCCTGACATTTTATTGTATAGCCAGAGATGGATGCTGCCCCTTTTTCACAGAGCATCTCTATGGGTAAGTGTTTGGCTATTTAAGCATATATATTCCATGAAAAAACTGGCTACGTCATAAAAATCTGGCAAAAGGAGCCCTTGTCCAAAACGGTCATTAGCCTTAGATTGTTGCACCTCCCATAGCTCTTTAAGTACCCCAGATGTCTGCAAAAGTTCTAACGAGAGAAATGCTTTACACAAGTGCCATGCTCGGCCAAAGTTGTCACTGTGCCATTGGCTTCTTCCATTTTACACGGACGAACGTGAGTTTAACGACCAGGGCAAAAAAGGTACGCACACTGTGCGATGCGGAAGCAAGTGGTGGAGGCATGCCGGAGCTTGAGCAATGAGCTCTGTCTGCAGGGAGGACAAGAGCGCACGCCCCTAATGATTTCATAAAACAGCTGTTTTACACCTGTGGGGCAAGACTCTGCGTGGCAGTCTGCTAACAGCCTCGAGGGTTTTTGTGGCCCAGACAGGGGCCTGTCGGGAATTTTAAGTCTAGAAGTTCCCCGCGTTTTTCATTCCTTTGTAGTTATGCATTATTTAATACCATCGTTGGAGGTAACAAAAAAAAATAACAGACTTGAGAACCGGGGGAATCGTCGTGCCAATACGCGCCGTTAATAAAACTCCCATGATTCACAAGTGCAAGGTCAGTCTTGACTTCTCTCGCGAGCACGTGCAAATCAGTTATTAACAATACTGCTGTTGTCCTGTTAATTATACATCTTAAAGCACGCAATACATATTTGTATTCCAGTGCCTGGTACAAGGCATCTTTGGGTAATTGTTAATCTCCTCGTCGAGTCTCAGCCACGTAAAGAGCACACGGCACATCGGCACATCGTAGTGTGAAGATGCCGAGAGTTAAAGAATGCTTTCATTTTAATTGCCTTCTTTCATGATGTGCGTGTGCGTACATGCACGCGCACACCATGTATTGGTGTGGGGGAGCAGTCGTGTAGTGGTTAGCGCACTGCCTTGTGATCCCAGCAACCTGAGTTTGATTCTTGGTCATGGCCAACTTCAGTTACAAATATCTGAACACGGTCCTGGACTTCTCCAAAGGTGAACTCAACTTAAATGGCAAATTTAATACTCAAACAATACACCTGCTTTACATATACCTGTTCCTCCACGTAGATAATTAAAGTTTCCTTTACATAGTCCCATAAGACGCACAGCCTTTTATAAGTGCATCATTTCGGCAGCATTGGTGCAAAACAAGCAGACTCGGTGTTGACATGCATTGTCTCATCAGCAGCGTCACACTTGCTTGAACCAATGCTGTCAAACTGCCAGATATTAACAGGCAAGGGCTCTGTTTGAAGCCCTCGCCTTAAATGAGCACCTGGTGCGGTATGCAAGCAATCAGCGGTGGGGCAACAAAGGCTTGGCCACACCACGCCCTCGTGTGCTGTGCCCGCTTAATAACTTGCACTTGCCCCAACAGCCTGCCGAGGCTATACACGGGACCTTTGTCTTTGTTCCACGTCAGTGCTCGGCGGACTGCGGCGAAGGAGTGCAGTCCCGCTCGGTGGTTTGCCTGATGAACCACGTGAACAGTCTCCCGCTGGAGGGCTGCTCCAGCGACCAGCCGCCTGAGAGACAAGCCTGCAACTACGGCAGCTGTGAGACCAAAGCGGAATGGTTCACCGGGCCCTGGGGACAGGTAACGGCCGCGCTGAGAACACGTTTCTCATTAATAAAGGAAGTAAGGGGCTGGTGGGGAGGGCTGGCAGGGTTACGGATGCATGGCGCATAATTACCATTCAATAATAACAGAAAAAGTGACCTCTTGCATAGGGTTTCGCTGTTGTGCTGTGTAGCCCTCTGATTAGTTTTTTTGGGGGCTGTACCTTTAAGTCGTTTCTGAAGTTCCCAGAACGTGGGGTAAAACGTGGGACATCATGCTGAACAGCGCGTGGCACAACCTGCAAATGCATCAGAGAGAAAGAACGACACTCCCCCCTTGACGCCATTAAACGGCGAAGACAACCGCAGTTATTTGGGCACGTCCATAGAGCTAGCAAATGTATCCAAACTATCCTGCAAGACACCATTCAGGGGACTTGAAAGGGAGAGCACCCCTGGAAGGATTCTGAACATCGTAGACTGCTTCGGCTCACAGGCTCAAAACTCCAAGTAGCCAGAAACAAATAGCATAATTCACGGTGTAATACATAAGTGTTGACACGAGTGACTGCGTCTGATGAATTTCTGATCGTTAACATAAAGCATGAGAATCGGTTTATCGATTCAAGTTGACGGCCCGACACTTGTCCGCTTGGCCACGTCCGCAGTGCTCCGTCGGGTGCGGCAACGGCACGCAGAGCCGGGACGTGATCTGCGTGCAGCGGACCAACGGCTCCTTCTCCGCGACGGACCGCGACGCCTGCGCCGGCCTGGCCGAGCCGGCGAGCCAGCAGCCGTGCCACCTGCGTGCGTGCGGCGCCCGATGGTACACCACGGCATGGAGCGCGGTGAGCACCGTCGGTCGGTCAGCAGCAGTTGGCTTTAGCCAACTGCCACATGGGGGGGGGGGGGGCTTTGGCTGCTCCGAGGTGCACAGGCGTGGATTAACTAACAGGCAATCCATTCACCCATGCAGAATTTATGAGTCGTCTTTGAAACAGACGAAATAAATATATAAATGTAAATAGGTGATGCTGGGGTGTTTTTTTGTTGCTTTACAATTGAGGTTAAAACATGTGGTACCAGCCAAAAACAAATTCAATATTTATTTTACTTTAATTTAACATTCATATAAAAAATATATGAGGTTGAGTGGGAGTGTAGTGGTTCGTGCATTGCGCAATGAACTCTTGAGAACCTGAGTTTGATCGTCGGCCAATCCTTACCACAATAACAATGTGAATTTACGTACCATCTAAATGCGATCACATCTTTAGGATCTTAATAGGAATTAAAACAAAACTAAACAAAAGTGGGAGAGAGAGAGAGCAACACCTTGGCACAGCTTGGGATGAACCACCAACCAGGGTCTAGCACTACAATAAACCCTCAGGACAGTTGGGACAGCTATGGCAGCACCAACAAAGTCACCTAGGGCATCCTTGGGGACCTTCCTTCACCTTGCAGCTACAAGCAATATTTGAACTGAGCCTGTGCCTTCCCTTTACCAATACTCCTCCCCCCCCCCCCCACCACCTAATCACCTCCGATTAGCATGGTTGGCTACATTGGGTGCAGCATACATGAGTAACAAACAGGAAACCAGGACTGATACTGCATAGGGACGTCTTAATCCAGCAGTGCGTTGTCAATGAGCTGTGAATTATGATTTATAGTTCTTGCATGAAAATATACATTCCTGTTTGGGGTCACTTTGATTAATTATACGATGAAGCAATAATGTTGAGTCTTCCGCACTTCAGCATATCAGCCTGAAACAGAACGTCTGTAAATCTCGAACACGTCTCAATGCCCCTCCCTCTTATAGACCTACCTGGCATCGGCAGTGGATAACACATTCCTTCGATGCCAAACTCAGCGAGCCCAACTGTTCGGTCGAAGTTGCGTCCAAAAATAAAGTTGAGCTCTCACAGCGTGGTCGTGCGCCTGTTCCCCGCGCTCCCCCAAACCAACCCACCCCGTGCTGCAGTGCTCCAAGTCGTGCGAAACCGGCTTCCGAGTGCGCGAGGTGCGATGCCTCGACGACAGCATCGCCCCCAGCAGCAGCTGCGACGCTGAGCTCAAGCCCAGCAACAGGGAGGATTGCAACACGCAGGCGTGCATCCCTGAGATCGGTGGGCCGGGTTCCGTGAAGATTCCGAGGAAAAATGACTACTCTTAACATGGCGTGGGGCGAGCACATGGCGGGGCAGCGGTTGGGCAGTACGGCAAAAATACATTGTTGTACTGTACCTCTGTGCTTCCGCATCTGTGCGGTTTGCCTTCACCTTACCCGCATTGACCAAGGTGGTGAAGTGCAGTCAAATAGCCCCCACATGACCAGTAGAGGATGTATCAAAGAGCTGTACCTGTACCCTAGTTGCTCTGTTGCATTCTAACCCTTAACCCCCGGATTGTAATCCTGTTTTTGTGTATTTTTGCTCTGGTAGCCTTGATGAAGATGGAGTTCAGTTAACGGGGACTAAAACGCTAAAACAGTGCTGTTCATATCAGCGGAATCTAAGCACTGCGTAGGTGTATGCTGCCTAGAGCAATGCCCAATTAAAATTCACATGTATGGTGTTGGGAATACTGCAACTGTCCTGTTGGCTGATAGCGTTGCAACAGACACCCAGTCCAATCTAAGTTGCCTGGTTTAATTTCCCTATTGTGCCCGACAGGTGTAGCCACCAGAGATGTATTAATCGTGATGTATGAACCAGAGATTTTATGAACCGTGTGAACCATCTATTGTAAGGAATAGCTACAATGTAGTCACTGCAGCAGCATATACAGTGAGGGAAAAAGGTAATTGATCACCTGCTGATTTTGTACGTTTGCCCACTGACAAAGAAATGATCAGTCTATAATTTTAATGGTAGGTTTATTTGAACAGTGAGAGACAAAATAACAACAACAACAAAATCCAGAAAAACGCATGTCAAAAATGTTATAAATTGATTGGCATTTTAATGAGGGAAATAAGTATTTAACCCCTCTGCAAAACATGACTTAGTACTTGGTGGCAAAACCCTTGTTGGCAATCACAGAGGTCAGACGTTTCTTGTAGTTGGCCACCAGGTTTGCACACATCTCAGGAGGGATTTTGTCCCACTCCTCTTTGCAGATCTTCTCCAAGTCATTAAGGTTTCGAGGCTGACGTTTGGCAACTCGAAGCTTCAGCTCCCTCCACAGATTTTCTATGGGATTAAGGTCTGGAGACTGGCTAGGCCACTCCAGGACCTTAATGTGCTTCTTCTTGAGCCACTCCTTTGTTGCCTTGGCCGTGTCATGCTGGAATACCCATCCACGACCCATTTTCAATGCCCTAGCTGAGGGAAGGAGGTTCACACCCAAGATTTGACGGTACATGGCCCCGTCCATCGTCCCTTTGATGCGGTGAAGTTGTCCTGTCCCCTTAGCAGAAAATCACCCCCAAAGCATAATGTTTCCACCTCCATGTTTGACGGTGGGGATGGTGTTCTTGGGGTCATAGGCAGCATCCCTCCTCCTCCAAACACGGCGAGTTGAGTTGATGCCAAAGAGATCCATTTTGGTCTCATCTGACCACAACACTTTCACCCAGTTGTCCTCTGAATCATTCAGATGTTAATTGGCAAACTTCAGACGGGCATGTATATGTGCTTTCTTGAGCAGGGGGACCTTGCGGGCGCTGCAGGATTTCAGTCCTTCACAGCGTAGTGTGTTACCAATTGTTTTCTTGGTGACTATGGTCCCAGCTGCCTTGAGATCATTGACATGATCTTCCCGTGTAGTTCTGGGCTGATTCCTCACTGTTCTCATGATCATTGCAACTCCACGAGGCGAGACCTTGCATGGAGCCGCAGGCCGAGGGAGATTGACAGTTATTTTGTGTTTCTTCCATTTAAGAATAATCGCACCAACTGTTGTCACCTTCTCACCAAGCTGCTTGGAAATGGTCTTGTAGCCCATTCCAGCCTTGTGTAGGTCTACAATCTTGTCCCTGACATCCTTACAGAGCTCTTTGGTCTTGGCCATGGTGGAGAGTTTGGAATCTGATTGATTGATTGCTTCTGTGGACAGGTGTTTTTTATACAGGTAACAAGCTGAGATTAGGAGCACTCCCTTTAAGAGTGTGCTCGTAATCTCAGCTCGTTACCTGTATAAAAGACACCTGGGAGCCAGAAATTTTTATGATTGAGAGGGGGTCAAATACTTATTTCCCTCATTAAAATGCCAATCAATTTATAACATTTTTGACATGCGTTTTTCTGGATTTTCTTGTTGTTATTCTGTCTCTCACTGTTCAAATAAACCTACCATTAAAATTATAGACTGATCATTTCTTTGTCAGTGGGCAAACGTACAAAATCAGCAGGGGATCAAATACTTTTTTCCCTCACTGTATATTTTTTGTTTATATATACGCTGTGTTGTAAATATTATCCACAATTTTTGCGATACGATTCTCGAGACCCTTGCTTAACTGGGACAAACATATGCGCTCATTAGTCAAAAGCTTGAGCAGTGATTGCTTTTGCCCGAAACGTTTAACGTTGGTATTCGATCGTCATGATATATCTTTATTTTTACGTACGCGTGTATGTTGAAGTCTAGATTTGAAGCTTTCGTGACTGCAAGGATTCATACTCTTTGGTTTTTTCGGTAAAGTCACGTAGGTAAAATAAAATAAAAAATAAAAAGAAAACAACTAAATTAAATCACGACGTTTCGGAGGCAACACAAGCTTCCGTCTTCAGGTGGAGCAGTCAGAGCAGAATAGCTGTACCAAGTGGGGAGCTCTTGAGACGACCGGGATTATATACAGGTTAAGAGGGGGGAGGAGCCAGAAAGGGACGTGGGGGGGTGGGCTGAGTTAAGCCGCCTTTTATTATACCAAAAAAACCAAAGAGTATGTGTATGTTGAACTTCTTTTGCACCGTGCGCAGCCAACGCACGCCGCACGTTGCGCGCGTTGAGCAAACATCCACCAGGCGTCTGTAACCGCCCACGTTGTCTCCCGCAGACGAGAACTGCAAGGACAAGTACTTCAACTGCAACGTGGTGGTGCAGGCGCGGCTGTGTGTCTACAACTACTACAAGACGGTGTGCTGCGCCTCGTGCACCCGGGCTGCGAACCGCGCCCGCCGCATCGGCCAGAGATAACGGCCTCCCCGTCGGCACCCTCAGTCCCGCGTGGGCCCCCCAGCCTCCCTCCCCCCCCCCCCAATCCCGTGACCTCGGCCCCGCCGTCGACGAGAGACTTCGGCCGGCAGCGAGAGACGGCAGCAGAGCAGCGAGCGGCGACGCGTTTTGCGGCTCCCCGGAGAAGAACGGATGACTTTTATTTCTGCGGAAATTGAGACTTGCCTAGAGGTTCATTCATCCACAAGCAGTGAAGAACGGCGCAATTTGTGAAACAGATTGCGCGCCGCTGCGCTGCATATAACTGAACAATCAGTTGGAGGTCCACGGGGGTGGCTCGCTTTGTTTATTTCTGGATAAACATTGCCCCATAAGAATGGCTTTTATTTGTATTCAGCACATATACAGCATACGGTGTGCATATAAAGTAGCAGGAGGCCTTTACATATGAATTTTCATTACCTCATTCCTACTCCAATAACTGGGGCTCAGGCCAGTAGTAACATTAAGATTCGTCTAAAACGTATGCCCCCGCTATTGCATGAGTAAAAACAATCCGTATTAAATGCGTTTGCCTCGCTCGTGAACCGTTCCATGAACCCACACGCGTTTAAAGGAACCAGTGTTAAGGATGAGGCGATCCAACGTCATGATAATCACGAATGCAACGACATACATGACGCTTTCTCCCACTGCAGGCGATCTCACACGCCGCCTTTAATCCGGAAATGGGGGGGGGGGGGGGGGTAGGGACACACGTATTTGATTGACACGAAGATATTTTGTTTTTACGTGTGGCATTGCGGGCGCAAACTCCGCCAGAGGCTGGGATCACGGGCTGCATCACCCCCAAGTGCTGTTGGGCAGTACAATTTAAATATTTGAAATCATCTTGTCACGATCACACCCCGGTTTGTGAGATTCCACAGCAGGGTTCTGATCCCCCTGCACCACGCTCCACCACGCTCCACCACCCCGACCTCTTCTCAATTCCCCCCACCGCTTCGGTTTGCCTCTAGGTAACGTGTGTTGTTGTAGATAATTATCAAGAACCGCCCATTAACAGTTGACATATATATTATTTCAGCAGCCACAACTACCTCTTCTTTAAATTTGCCGTCATGACATATATGGTGCTGTTTTAGGTGCTGTTATATAAAGCTGTATTGTATTTCTTTTACACTGTTACAATTTTCTGGTTTTGTTTTTTTTTGTTTGCATTTGCAGCTGGGGAGGAGTGCAGCGGTAGACGTAAATTAACAAAAAAACAGTTCAGAAATACATTTTCTGTGCCTGCAACAGATTTTTTTTTAAAAATCCAAGAGTGGTGTGAAATGTCGTGCAATTGTTATTTGTTCGTTATTGTCAACCGATGACGATTTAATTAACACACATGCTTCACGTTTCATCTACGTTACAACAGTGATGTAAGGTATTTCTAACAAGGGGCAATCAAATGCTACCACTTCTTGCTTCAAAGGTCAAAGGTTCCCTAAATGTTAATTGCTCTCAGCCATATTTAGCTTGGTGCCTTGTAAATAATTCTAGTAATGTTATTGTGAGCTTATATGAAAGCTAAACTTTGCCTTTGTTGTTAATAATCATTTTGTACAATATTCTTAAAGGTTTTACCTTTAATTATATAGCCTTGCAATTATACACATGAACACAGTTATTCCTATACTAACATTTAGTAGTGCTACTGTTAAAACAAATTTACTTAAAAAAAAGCTACATTTACAATTATATTTTAAAGCTGGCAAAAAGTATTATAAATACTTTAATATAATGTTTTTTTTTACTTTCATTGACTCATTATCCACAGTTGTGTTTATGCTTTGCTTTCTTATAAGGCTGCACTTCTCCCCCCCCCCCCCCCCCCGAAAAAATAAATACTATTTTGTTAATGATTAATTTATTTTGTACAACTGTGTTAATGAACTGTTATGGTTGGATTTTGATGGATTCCCAAAACAAGAGGTATGGCGGGGGCCAGGTGGAGTTGGAAACAATCTATTACTCTCCTACGGAAATTAAATGCTCGGCAGTTCTAATCTGTGGCCTAACTATCGAATGTGCCGGCAGTGCAAATACACCGGGGACCCTGGGCTGGTGGAGCCCAGTGGGCGACAAAGACTAGGGAGGATTATTGGATGGAGGGCCTCATTTTATTCTTTGTGCCAGGACCCGTGCCCGCCTGTTCTAATCTAACACCTATGCTGCCTTTTAACACTGTGACTGCATGCAAAGGTGAGGGCAATAGCTACAGATCTAGCCATGTATGATGTGTAAGTGTTAGCCGACCGTCATTCTCTGTTAAACATTAGGAACGCTGAAGATGTCACGTGCGTTTTTGGCCAGCCTGCTCGTATTTACATCCATTGTGACACAAATATGTACCGTACTGTAGATTGCAACTAAACTCACTGAAAACAACCTACCAACAGGAAATAAACATTTGCAAAGTCACTTGTTGTTCAGTCTTATGTATGTGGTTGCATCAACAATGATTTTTTTATGCTCTGTTTTTCTGTGTGTGCATGTGTATGGTGCACGTGTGTGCGTTCATAAATATATGTGGCATTATTCCATTCCCTGTTGTAATCGCCTTCCCACTGAGTGGCCTCAGTTCAGCTAAACTAGCGCAAGTGCCACTATGGTGTCATCCAAAGTGTTGTGAATGGTAGCTTTTATTTTGCCACTGTTGTTGATATGTAATAAAAAAACTTCTACTACAAAAAAACGAGCTCAATGAGATATTATTATTATCTTCCAATAATGATTTTGTTAGAACATGTGCAGTGCTTGTAAATGTAATATGTAGAAATTGTGTGTAGCAATCTACATATTGGCATATATACTATATATGTAATATATGCCTATACATGCACTCGGTGAAATCACTGTTATCAGGTTCTCATGTCATCCTGGAATCATCCCATCTAAATGCAGTGCACATGACCGTTATGACGCCACCAGTATGACGTGATGAGCGTTGCATTTAGATTGGGTCATTCCAAAAGGGCAGGGCATCTGACGTCTGTGCTATGGCCTCTGCGATTCAACAGTCACTGTGGCTCATGTGTCTATGACGGATTGAATCCTTTTCCCAGATGGAGAGGGTTTCTATCAATGCTCATTGTAAAAATAGGGGGCATCAGTTTCCCAGGTGAACTCTGCACAGAAGGCCAATGCTGCCTTGGCCAAGGCTGCCTGTTGGTGCCAAATATCAGCAAATCAAATGCGCACGTGGTTGGAGGTATTCCTTCAATTTCCCATTTTGTGCGCGAGTCTTAATAGGTGCCTGAGAAACTGATCTTGGTAGGAAACCTTTTAACCTTGTTTTCTTTCACCAGGAGCCCATTATACAACCGTTTACGTCTGATCCTTCACTTCAAAGGTGGGCCCCATGCAGGGCACATAAAACATATGATATAGGCACTATGGGTGAAGCGGGCAGCTACTACAGCTTCAGTGAATTACAATTTAATTTGCTGCATCTGGTCAGGAACGTGGGAAATGGCTATTCACAGCGTTGGCTCGCATTTTCTTCACGTGAATTTAATTGGCTGTTGTGTTTCAATTGTCCGTTAGATGTAATCGTATTTGAGATGAGTCTTGCAAAACTGAAAATGTACCCTTCGATGCTTTCAGAAACTTTAAAACTCACAATGGTATTTAACATAATTGTATTCAATGTGCTGCCTATTTGAAAGTCCGAGAGGCTCTCCTGCGCTACTTACATATTGATGGGCGCGGAGCAACATGATAAGGCTTTATAATTAATTCTCAAAGGAAATGTGACGCCAGAGTTTCCTTTTTTGACTCGCAAATCAGGTAGAGCATGAAATTACCAGGATTTCACAACATTAAAACAAGCTTCCTTCTTTCCTGGAGGTTAGCACTGCTGTCAAGGTTATAATGAGCAGTCTTTTCCTGAGCCCTTTAACCTTGCGTGCCCTGCGGAAAGAGTGGGAGGGGGGTGACCCAGGCACCGTGTTGCAGGATCACATTCTGTTGTTTCTCCGAGTCAGTCCTTGAGTAATGCAAGTAAGGTCACGAGTTTCTCAAGCTGCCTCCAAGAGTAATGCTAAGTCTTTTTTGTAAACATTAATTTAATGAATTGGCTATCTCGAGCTCACTTGACAGACTGAAAGGGGAGATATTAAAACAAACATTTTACAGCGCTCCACTAAGGGTATTTATTTTTATTTTCAAGTTTGCTTTCAAGGAAATGTGGTCAATGGATGATAGTTGTTTTCATTTTTCACTCCAATAATGAAAGTTGAATATTGTATCCATGTGGCGCACTTTATGTGGTGAGGCAAATTGAACACTACACTCATGCTTCCGGTGTGGTTGAGACAGTGTTGAGTTTTGATTTCCTTAACAGTGATTTAAAGCTTTCGTGACTGCAGTCATTCATATTTTTATAAAATAAATTTATTATTTTATTGTTTCCCTTCAACGTGACTTTACCGAAAGAGCTAAGAATATTCCTTAACAGTGGTTGAAGTATTGGCATATACTTCCTACATCTATCCAGGGATATGAATGATGTTACTGGAATCATTGTATTGCTTCGATCACTCCTGGGAGATTAACTTATGGTGCGGCTACATTTTCAACACATCTGGGCTGTATGAAAATGTTGGCTAATCTTCCCATGAAAATTAGAACGCCCTCAGTAATTAAACAAATTTGTTTGTATTATTGGTTCTTTCGGTAAAGTCACGTAGAATGGAAATAAAATAATAAAAATAAGACGCAATAATTTATTTTATTATAATAATTTATTTTATGACGTTTTATTTTTATTATTTTTTTTCCCTTCCACGTGACTTTACCGAAAGAACCAAGAATATGAATCCCTGCAGTCACGAAAGCTCTAAATCAAAATTTGTTTGTGTACATTAAGTTCAGATTTTCACGCTTGAAGATATAATTTTCGTTCGTGTCGTAAACATACATGCCCAATTCGCTGGAAAACGTATGCAAGATGTTTTCTTATTTTGCGCATGACTATTGTGAGGAAAATCGTACGGAAATCTTTTTGAGAACCATTTCTAACATCTCTCGCCTGGACCTTGTAGCAAATATAAAATAAACATATTGTACTGCATAAGCCAAAAGAAAACTTTCCAGAAGTTTCCAGACCATATTAGTGTACATGAAGATGTCCACACATGTCCCCGTGGCAACAAAAAGATATCCCTCGATTGCCAAGTGATGAGGTCAAGACAAAAACAACATTCAAACATTGAGGTAAATTTTAAGTGAAAAATGAATAATCGCAGTTGTGCTCATATTTGAGAGCTTTTAACACCCTCTGATGGCAAACACATGTTCCATCCGCACAACAACCTCACTTCTCCGCCCCACTCGTTCCTCTATCTTCACTCAAATGCCAACGTCAGTGAATGATTATTAAGGGGCATGTCTTCAATGAAGTCCCTGGAGTTGTAGCAATTCCCATAAAACATGTTGAACGCACAGAAGCAGGTGGTGCTTGCGACTGCGTATGTGCAGGCATGGAAATGCATCACACATGAGGAGCAACAGACGACGATGATGATGATAATGACACACCGAGGCCCGCTTCTTCTCCGGTGAATTTATAAACGTGATAAATAGGCCGATGGCGGCATTGTTGAGTGTGAGCACTGGGCTGTGACGTGACTGCATGCACATAACCTAATGATGTGATAAAAGTATATTACCACAATAATGTACCAGCTTATTCGAGATGCATTATCTGATATCTCTGAAATAAACGAGTCAGACGTTTGCCTATTCTTCTGCAGTTTATTTATAAAAAAGTATTTTATATAAAACTCTTTTCTCACGTATATTTTTTCGGCATTAATATAATTAGAGACTGTGGCAGACTAGTGGAGTGCTTACTGATAGCACTTTGTGAGAATTAACAATGGTGCTATATTGGCAGGAATCGTATATGCTAAAGAGTTGCATCACAGAGTCTTTTATCATCCCTTTTATCAGTTTTACAGCCGATTTGCGATGTCTTGGCATGTTCCAGTAGCATTAATAGAGCAAGTGAATCAGAGACTCCATAATAGAGTTTTTTGGGGGGTTATATCGCGTATTTACGTATTTACGCGATCTAAACAAAAAAAACCCCTCTATTATGGATGATATTCATATTCATGCTTCTTTCGGTAAAGTCACATAGAAAATAAAAATAATATAAAAATAAATGAAAATTAAAAGCAAAAAACCACGACGTTTTTTAATATGAATCCTTGCAGTCACGAAAGTTTTAAGTCAAAATGGATATTTTTCGCGAAAACCTACGTGTTAAACAAATCAGACTGTTTACGAAAGTGAGTGGGCTTGGGTAGGAGACATCGCTATGAAGGGATGATGGCCACGTGTGAGAAACTATTGACGGAATGGCAGCCAAAGGAGGGAAACACATCCGAGAGCACGACCACCGCAGAGACGGAGCGATAAGATCAGCATATGTGGAGTAGTGCAAATGAATCCTGCCATTGCGGGAGCATTCATCCAGCAGTGGAGAGATCATGACTGGCAATGATGATGATGTTCATTCAATTTGGGCAAATCAACTCTCTTCAATCTGGAGGGAAAACCCTCTCTCAATCTGGCACAGCTGCCAATAAGTGACGGGCAGTGGTGAATCTGGAGGTAAAACCCTCTCTCAACCTGGCACAGCTGCCATTAAGTGACGGGCAGTGGTGAATCTGGAGGGAAAACCCTCTCTCAACCTGGCACAGCTGCCAATAAGTGACGGGCAGTGGTGAATCTGGAGAGAAAACCCTATTTCAACCTGGCACAGCTGCCAAAAAGTGACGCGCAGTGGTGAATCTGGAGGGAAAACCCTCTCTCAACCTGGCACAGCTGCCATTAAGTGATGGGCAGTGGTGAATCTGGAGGTAAAACCCTCTCTCAATCTGGCACAGCTGCCATTAAGTGATGGGCAGTGGTGAATCTGGAGGGAAAACCCTCTCTCAACCTGGCACAGCTGACAATAAGTGACGGGCAGTGGTGAATCTGGAGGGAAACCCTCTTTCAACCTGGCACAGCTGCCAATGAGTGACTGGCAGTGGTGAATCTGGAGATAAACCCCTCTCTCAACCTGGCACAGCTGCCAATAAGTGACGGGCAGTGGTGAATCTGGAGGGAAAACCCTCTCTCAACCTGGCACAGCTGCCAATGAGTGACTGGCAGTGGTGAATCTGGAGGTAAACCCCTCTCTCAACCTGGCACAGCTGCCAATAAGTGACGGGCAGTTGTGAATCTGGAGAGAAAAACCTCTCTCAACCTGGCACAGCTGCCAATAAGTGACGCGCAGTGGTGAATCTGGAGGGAAAACCCTCTCTCAACCTGGCACAGCTGCCATTAAGTGATGGGCAGTGGTGAATATGGAGGTAAAACCCTCTCTCAATCTGGCACAGCTGCCATTAAGTGATGGGCAGTGGTGAATC